CCACTAGAAAAGCAAAAACAAAAAAGAGGACATCAAGCTTCCTGAATGACAACAAATAAGTTGCTCTTTCTCTTTCAGTGGCTGCATACCAAGCAATTGCATCTACGCTCATTTTTCCTCTAAAATAAGGTTCCAGAAAGAATGATATAGCACTGAGAATCCGTTCTTTATGAGGATTCAGTTTCTTATGCTGTTACTTTACCATCCTCTAACTTCAAAGTAGCCTATAGCCATCTCCATGAGACCAAATCTTTGATAGCTGGAAATTCCAAACCCAATCCCTGCATATTCCATTTCAACTTCCTATAAATAAATAAACCTTCCTCCTAATTTAGTGTGTCTCCTGATAGTCACTATAAGAAAACAGGAGCAAAGACAGGCCTTTTCCAATTGAGATTATATTATTCACTCACACTATTAAAGTTATAAATGGAAACAGAATGCTAGTAGATACATGCAAATGGATTCATCTCCTACCTACATCATCTTCATCATCTTCTTTGATGTTATTAATAGAACCATCTGGAAAGGATGGAGCAGAAACAATACAAGTAAAGACAAATGCTGAGCAGAAATGCAAAGCATACTATTCAATTTTTTCTTCCTGACTCTTCAGTGTCTACTGGCAAGAAGAGTCATTTCATGGAGGAGTGGACGAAATGACTGGGAAGGTAATGGAGAGTGTGGAATCTCACACTGAAGAACTCGCCGTATCTCACTTGGCAGGGACGGGATGAGAGCAAAGCAATGCTTTTTAAACACTGAGGTTGCTCTGCTTTGCCCTAACAGCACTCACCTATGTTTCGGACTGTAGTACTCTTGACACCCCGAAGGTTCTTCCGGGGGTGGTTGAAGTTTGAAAACTATTGAGAGACACAAATTTCAACCAATATTAGGATGCAAGCCCTCAAGCAGCCCAGTGCTTCCCTACCACAGGGGCTGGGAGGGATTCAGGGAAGGACACCCGGGTATTGCTTCCTTTGCAATATTAGGTAGCAGCAGATTGCTTTCGAAGTTAGGTTTCCTGTATGAATTATCCTAAAATTGGAGATTTTCTGTACTCCCTGTACATGAAGTTTCTCTTTCCTAGGCCTCTAGTTTAGAGTTGGGCAGTACTTGCGGCTCACGGCACCAACAAGGGGAGGAGGGCTAGGAAAGTGCGCCGGCAAATGGATGGAAGCAAGCTGAGGCTTAATGAGCAAATGGGCAGAGTAGAAAACTCGGGGTCCAGCTGGGACTACCGGAGCTGCGTTCCCACCCCGGATTTCCAGGGGTCGTCATTTTTGCCCTTTCTAACCAAAGGTCTTGCCTCTCGTGGGGGCGGGGACGGGGTCTCCCTCTGTGGCCCTCTTCCAAACCCTTCCCGCATCTCCCCTCCAGCATCTGACGCCCCGCTTCGAATGCTCGCGGGCTCTCCCTCCCCTCCCGGCCGATCTCCCTCTGCGAGTGGGAGCTCCACCCCCGCGGCTGTGCACCCCCCGACTCGGTGGCGGTTACGTGGCTGTTCAGCCGCTCGCTCTCCGCCGCCCCTGCGTCGCCTCCCCACAGTAACGACGCCATGGCTGCGATCGCTGCTCCCGCCCCCAGCACGTGCTTCCACCACAGGCGCGAGGCGGTGCCGGCTCTATCCGCTGGCCAATGGGCTTCCTCAGGGGGGCACGCGTCCGCGCCCGCGACCACCGAGGTGCGGCGCGCAGGCGCTGGAGGGCGGGGTGGGGCGCGGGGCGGAGGGCAGAGAGCGCGGCGGAGGGCAGAGAGCGGGACGAAAGGGCGGGGACCCGGGGGCGGAGGGGGCAGCCTCCGTTCCCGCTGCCGCTCGGCGGCCAGCAGCGCACACAGCCCTCCAGGCAGGAGCTCTCCGCACCCCCCGCCGCGCTTTACGCCCGGTGCCCATTTTCCTGGAAATTTCCGCCTCCGCATCCCAAGATGTCAGAAAGGTTAGCGAATTGCTTAGAAAACTGGAGACAAAATCTGATGATTTGATATGACGAATGACCTCGGGGGCACAGTTGCGGAAAGGAAGCAGAGCTGTTCAAGCTCTAACTGCTGTTCCTGCCCTAGATACCTGTGATGTTTCACATACGCTTTTTAAACCTTTTATTTGAAATGTGGTCTCTTGTTAAAAACATTTCCTTTCGGTATAACCTCTAACGCCCTACATGCGTTTGCATAATACGGGATAGATCCCTGGATCCCTGGTACTAATGATTTAATGACTGCTCAATTTGGACGAAAGAACCAAATTCCACCTCCCCCCCGGCCCCCAGTTTTCTAATTGTAATTTTAAGATTTTGATCAGCATTTCTGGAATTGGGGGCAAAAATACAAAGACACACGAAACTGCAGTCATGATCTCTCCGTGGTGCTGAAGCAACGCTCCCGGCTCTGTGCGGTCATTCTCAGGGCACCTAGTCGTTTGTTTTGAGATTATCATATTCATTTCAGCTTTTAATTCTAATAGTAAATGTTTCCGTCTCTCAATGGTAACTTTCTTCTCATTTAACTAGGTACAAATCGAGCCAGCATCTTCAGTGTTTTAGTTTTCGTATAAGGATAGCAGACATTTGAAAAATTACCTTTTTTTCTATTAGTTTAGCGTAGCACTAGAATTCCTCCTTTTATTGCTGTCCTGCCACGGGCCCAGATTCTCCCTTGTTGGTGGAGAAACGGTAGTTGGACTAGAAAACTTGAGGTAGATTCTAGCAGCTAGCTCGGGTCTCAGAACTACATTTCCCACAAACGTGGACTACACTTCCCATGAGGGCTCGGGCGCCTGCGCAGAAGACGCACAGCGACAGCTTCCTGTCTCGGAAACGCGGCGCGGCCGGCTACCGGAAAGTAAGTGTGGGATTTTTGGGGTGGGTTACTTTCTGGGTTCCACAGGGGAAGGGACAAATGGACACACCGCTGAACGGTTGTCTGTTGTCTTCTTTTTGCCCTCTTTCACATACTTTAGTCTTTTCAGGAAAGCATTGGTGTCTGGAAATGAGACATCGCTTAAGACCATGTATTTTTCTTTTGTGACTGGTACTTTCTGGAGCTCCCGGCGGAAACTCGCCGCAGTCGGGGCGTCTTTAATTCCGTTGTGACGGGAGCTTCAGTGGTCCTTGTACTGTGGAATACAAAAGTGCTCTGCTGCCCCACTTAGAACTGGATGCTCATAAAACAGTAGAAGTTGAGAACCCAGGATTATGTGGGAGGCTGTGGCAGCAATTTTCAAATTATTTTGGGGATTGCCTTACATACAGAGCACGATTGCTTTCTAGTGATCATAGTGCGTGTCTGCTAATCCTTTGGACAGTACTCCCTCTTCTTCACTTTGGATTAATATAAAGTTTATCAAGAGGAATGCTATTTGTGTTAACCCACTGGTTCCTGAGATTAGAATTTTTTTTTTTTTTTTTTTTTTTTGAGACTGTCACCCAGGCAGAGTGCAGTGCCGTGATCACTGCTCACTGCAGCCTCGACCTCCTGAGCTCAAGCGATCCTTCCACCTCAGCCTCCGACTAGCTGGGACTACAGGCGCGCGCCATCTTGGCAGGCTAGTTTTTAATTTTTTGTAGAGACGGTCTCGCTCTGTTGCCCAGGTTGGTCTCGAGCGATCCTCCCTCTTGGCTTCTCAAAATGTTGGGATGACAGGCGTGAGCCACGGCGCCCGGCCCAATGTATGGAACATCTGGTGATGGCTGTTTTAGTTTGTAATTGGTGCTTAGGGACACACGAATTCCCTCTTTGTGGTCACTTGGCAGCCCTGGCCAAGGTGTTACCTTAAACATCTGCTTGGGAACTACTGCACTTCACCCTGAAGAAGGATAAGGTGTGCTGCAAAAAGCACTGTAGTGTACCAAGTCCTGTTTTTTCCACAAGTCTGCCTTATAACCAACTAGACTCACTCTCTGGCCTAGTTCTTTAATTAGCAGGGGAGATGAACTAGTTAACTTTGGAGACTTTGGTAATACTGGACTTTTGAGATCTAAATAAATAATTGGAGTGTTTTGCATGTTAAAATCACCATGTAATTTTTGACCTCATAAAAAGCCGAGGTGTAAATACAAATTACCTTTAATCCCACTACTCAGGAGTTAGGTTTTGATCTTTCCCTGTGTGTACTGAGATCATCCTGTGTTTATATTTCACTTAATTTGCACCTTCCCATATTACTTTCCCCAAGATTCCCAATGACTATTGAATATTCTAGTATCTTTAAAAACATTGACTATTCCACTGTTGGTGGACAGTTTGCAGTTCCTACTTATTTGCGGTGAGTATATCCTACATGCATCTGAGTTGTTACTTCTTTTCCTGACAAATGCCTAACAGAACTGGGTGAATATGTGAATTATGTGGCTTTAAATGTTATAGGGAAAGTGACTTTTGCAGATAGTAACGGTCAAGGTCATTCACCTTTATGTTAGAGCTTTTTCTCTGTGAACAAGCAAACTGTGCCATCATTCTTCTGGCCTCTGGTGTTAAAACTGACAACTTTTAGATTTTAGACGGTCCCCATGGGGTTAGAAATATCAAGAACAGATAAAGTACAATTTAAGGTGAGCAGAATTCATATTTTGATCTGCACCCACACAGGCTAAGCAGGTTCATACCGGTATTTAATTTTGCATCTGATTCCAAATGTTACTAGTTTGAAATTCTACTGGAGTAGGAATAGTCTTCCAAGTGACGCATAATTCCTACAAAAATCTCAGGCAAATTATAAAAAGCATGGTATTCCAGAAAAACAGCTGGCAGGCAAAATATTTTTGAAGTAATTCTGAAATAAAACAAGTTTGAATCCTGTATGTTATATGGTACTGTTTTGGAGCATTATTTAAATAAAACTACTTGGATTTGTTGTATACCTTTAGTAATGAGGGCTATGTTGTTAACCTCTCCCATCCTTGAGGACTGTGTAAAAGGCAGGTTTTTGTTCCTTCTTATGAGCTCTCATCATAGCCCAGGTTCAAGATCATCTTAGGCAAGTATTTCATTAAATAATGTTCAAGTTAATGAATTTCCAAAATACTTTAATTGATAAGCGTAATGCCCAGCAACTTAAAAAACACACATTAAAGCACAGCAACTCACAATGATAGGTAAAAAAGGTTACAGGACACAAAGGGCCCTTACTAATTTGACAAAATAGAAAGACCAGGTCTGTTGTTCTTTCTGATGATTTATCTTGCAACTGCTGGATTTGAGTGGCAATTTGGAAGTATTATCTGATACCAATGTGATATATAGCTAGGAAAGACCAATGATAGGTGAAGTCCTTACCGTAAGATGTTTCTAAGAGCTTTTCAAGACAATTGTTTCTATTTAAAAGGAACGATATAAAGAGCTGGGTTATCTCAAACAATCCTGTGAAAGAAGTTTAAAAAGATTTAAGAAGGAGAAAGAGGGAAGGGAAGCTTCCTGGGTATGACACCATTTGCAAGGTCACAACGAACACCCCAACGGAGTGCAGACCTTTTCTTCTCTGTTGGTACTAGATAATTGTTTGGGACATATATGTGCTGAGGTTTGGATTGGGGTTCTGCTCGACAAAGCATCTGCTCTCGGACACCCCAGCGTAATTCCTTCCTATGATCTTCACCAGGTAAACGTATTGAGTCCCAGTCCCGTTTGTACTCAAAATACCGGGCTACCCGGTCTGTCTTGCCCCGGTTTCGGCTTAACTGGTCCAGCTTTGGGAGAATAAAGGACTTGGGTCTGCTGGCAACAATCAGGTCTTGTTCGTAAGCTGGAGAGCCCATTCCTTCTCTTTGTAGAGAGCAAATGAGCTGATCTTGAGAAATTCCTTGGTATTCATGTGGTGGATTAAATTTTTGTGAAATATCAAATGAAGATTCCTTGTCTTCCTGGAACTGCACATTCATCAGCCTTTGTCTTAAGTCCCAGAGACCCTGATCATTTTCTGTACCAGATTCTGATTCACTGATAATTGACTCATCTGTTACTAATACTTCCCCATCTGGCTTTCTACGCAGCACCTTTCTCTTCATCACCGGCTTTCGGAGTCTTTGGGAGGCCTCAGAGACTGTTTCTGAAGTGACATTACTTTCTACATGTGGGTATTGTAGTTGCACAGGAAGAGTAGGTCGCTTTCCTGGGGCTATTGAAGCTTTACTGTAGGGATCATATTGGATAGATTGGGCTTCTCTCCTAACATCTCCTTCACCCTGCCCTGCACAGATGTGGGTAAAAGCTGTAGCAGCTGCCAACATTCGTTCTTCTGGATCCATATTAGCCCATATTTGTCTATCAGGTAGAAGTTCTTCCATTGCTTCCCCTACACTGTAGGACCTTCTGCAAGAGATAACATTGGTCAGTTTTCTGATAATAAATTCCCAGCTCATAAATTGCTCATTCTCTTCTATTTTATAGCAGTCAAGTGGAGAAAGAATGGCTAAGGCAATCATAAATTCAATACAGGGTAGTATCAGAACAGTTTAGAGGGGCCTTAACTCAGTTCTAGGTAATCTATTACCTGCTTTCATTTCCACTCTTACTCCTGCTTTCTACTGTCTTGCCATCTTCAGGTCCTAAAACAGGACAGTATAGTTCTGGCATAAGAAAAGCTTGAAACTACATGATATGGGGCATACTGCTTAATGTACACTGTGTAACAGGTACTTAGTGGGTATTTTATGTGCCTGCCATTGTCCTATGTGCTTTACATTTATTAATTCATGTAATTTTCAGCTGTGGGATTATCTGCTTTTCACAGATGAATAACATGAGGCACAGAGAAGTTAAATAACTTGCCCAAGGTTACTCAGCTAGTAAGTAGTGGAGCTGAAATTCTAACTCAAGCAGCTTGGCTTCAGACTGAGTCCCCGCTTTTAACCATAAAAGAGTGATTTGATCTAAAAAAAAAAATCATAAAAGCAGTGTTGTGTTCTCACACACACATATAATGTGTATATATATATGCATACATATAATTTGTATGCTTTAGTAATTTTTTTTTTTTTTTTTTGAGATGAAGACTTGCTGCCGCCTAAGCTGGAGTGCAGTGGCACGATCTTGGCTCACTGCAACCTCTACTCCTGGGTTCAAGCGATTTTCCTGCCTAAGACTCCGGCGTAACTGGGACTACTACAGGCGTGGGCCACCATGCCCAGCTAATTTTTGAATTTTTAGTAGAGACAGGGTTTTACCATGTTAGCCAGGCTGGTCTCAAACGCCTGACCTCAGGCACCCCACCCGCCTCGGCCTCCCAAAGTGCTGGGATTACATGTGTGAGCCACCACGCCCAGCTGTCTTAGTAATTTTAACGCATCTTCAGTTGCCAGCTAAATCTGTTTATTCTAGTGTTTGAAATAACTTAGTACCCACATCAATCAGCCACATACCCAATGCTAGTTTCCTGACTGGATCTGAGATAGGTATCTACTGTCCACTATTTCCTGCGTCCCCACTGTTTTTCTTTTTAAACCGAAAAACTAATACATGCACATGATAATTTTAAGCAAGGACATTCCCTCCCCCACCAATTTTTACTCTCAAAGGCAATTTCTTATGATTATCCAGAAATTTTCCATATTCACATGTACTTTTTTTATACCATAAAGGAGAACACTACACAACTCTTCTGAACCTTAAAGATAATCTTGGTTATCCAGCTATATATATCAGCACAGGCCGACCTTCTTCATTTTATGTTGCGTGGAATTCCAATGTATGAATATACCATACATTTATTCAGCCATTCCCTTGCTGTTGTAATTTAGGTTTATAGGTTTACTGATGCTAAAACGAGTATCTTGCAAGTTTTTATCTATTTGTGCAAGCATATGAATGAGTTAAATTTCTAGACATGGGAGATGTGGGCCAAAAGGTATGTGTATATTCAATTTTGAGAGCTGTTGCCAAAATGTTTACCTTCAAAGAAGCTGTACTGACCATATATTAACAAAGCTTGTTTCTCTATTTCCTCTCCAAAGTGGTATACTATCAACCTTTGTCTTTGCAGTCACTTCCTTGAAAAATAGTTCATATCCTTTTGCATTTATTTCAGCTGAGTAAAATTGAGCATTTAGAAATTTTTTTAACAAATATTTTTATAAGCTTTTTTCTTTTTGTTTGAAATGCTTGGTCTTTGTCCATCTCTCAAGTTGCTGGATTTTTTTCTTTTTCACTAAAACTGATTTACATATTCATGAAATACTTACATATTAAGGAAGATAGCACTTCACCATCACTTATTTTTTTCTTCTCAGTTTGTTTTTTGCCTTTTGACTTTATTTTTTGCTGGGAGAAATTTTTACTTTTAGGTTACATCTTTTGTTTTTCTACAGTTTCTGGGTTTCTAGACTGTTTTGCTTAGAAATGCCTTTCCTACTCCAGAATTTAAGAAAAACGTTATTCCATGTTTTCTTCTAGTACTTTCAGTTTCATTTTTTACAGTTTAAACTTTTAATCTGTTATAGATACAGAAACTCAGAGTAAAAAACTAAGCTACCTACACTTAGATAACATAGCCTTAGAACAGATGTGGAGATGGTCTTCTCTAACTAAAGTAACCATCAGTCACAGATTGTCTAGGACCATCCCAATTTTAAGGATGTAGTATAGTTGTCCTCAGATTATTGAAATATAACAGGAATTTCTACACTGACATCTACATTACATCAGACTGACTTTTTAAACTATTAGAGGTACGGAAATCTAATATGCATTTAATTCAGCTTTAAAAAGGGGTCAGTGTGCTTAATTACCTTTTTATCTCCCATCAAAAAGGCTTAAAGTGAGAAAATCTTGTCTCTAGCTTCTACTTCCAATGTGAAATACAACCATCAGTAAGCTTCTTCAGTTAGGCTAGCTTCTACTACACCACCTAATATTCATCTAACGAATATTAGATGATGGAACATACAAGTCATTTAATGGAAAGCCGTAGAAACCCAGAGCAGACATAAGTAGCCCATATAAAGAAATCTTATGACCAGAGAATTGAATACAATGAGAAATCAAATGGAAATGTTTTAGAGAAAAACTATTTGTAACATCAGTCCTCAATCAATTCAGTGAAGATAGAGAAATGAAATCTATAGACATTCTCCCTAAATTTTGACTGCTTTAATGAAACCTTAATAATGACAGCTGAATAATAGTTCTTTCCCTCTGTGAACTGGCCAGAAGGGATGGAAAAGAATATCTATGGATGATCAACCCACAATAAAGCTAATGCTTGTATCCCTGGAAAAGCAAAAGTATATTCTTTGGGCGTTAAATTAAATTTTATATACCATTGGAACATCATCAAAGGAACTGGCACTGAAACTGTTGTATTCCTTTGCTCTCTTTTCAGACAGGACGGACCTGTATGATTCCTTTATTCCTGGGGCTGTTGTATCATGGCTGATAATGACACAGACAGAAACCAGACTGAAAAACTCCTAAAAAGAGTACAAGAACTGGAGCAAGAGGTGCAAAGACTTAGAAAGGAACAGGCCAAAAATAAGGAGGACTCAAACATTAGAGAAAATTCATCAGGACCTGGAAAAACTAAGCGTGCATTTGATTTCAGTGCTCATGGCCGAAGACATGTAGCCCTAAGAATAGCCTATATGGGCTGGGGATACCAGGGCTTTGCTAGTCAGGAAAACACAAATAATACCATTGAAGAGAAACTGTTTGAGGCTCTAACTAAGACTCGACTAGTAGAAAGCAGACAGACATCCAATTATCACCGATGTGGGAGAACAGACAAAGGAGTTAGTGCCTTTGGACAGGTAAGGGCCAATACACTGTTTCTCAAAGCAAGCAATACTAGGATATTCTAGGTATACACACTGAGTACTGAGATTATTTGTGTCTCTAAAACCCAGTATCTTTGTCTAACTCCACAGGTGATTTCACTTGACCTTCGCTCTCAATTTCCAAGGGGCAGGGATTCTGAGGACTTTAATGTAAAAGAGGAAGCAAATGCTGCTGCTGAAGAGATCCGTTATACCCACATTCTCAATCGGGTACTCCCTCCAGACATCCGTATATTGGCCTGGGCCCCTGTAGAACCAAGCTTCAGTGCTAGGTTCAGCTGTCTTGAGCGGACTTACCGCTATTTTTTCCCTCGTGCTGATTTAGATGTTGTAGCCATGGATTATGCAGCTCAGAAGTATGTTGGCACCCATGATTTCAGGAACTTGTGTAAAATGGATGTAGCTAATGGTGTGATTAATTTTCAGAGGACTATTCTGTCTGCTCAAGTACAGCTAGTGGGCCAGAGCCCAGGTGAGGGGAGATGGCAAGAACCTTTCCAGTTATGTCAGTTTGAAGTGACTGGCCAGGCATTCCTTTATCATCAAGTCCGATGTATGATGGCTATCCTCTTTCTGATTGGCCAAGGAATGGAGAAGCCAGAGATTATTGATGAGCTGCTGAATATAGAGAAAAATCCCCAGAAGCCTCAATATAGGTGAGTTAAAAACAAAAAACAAATGGCGCATGGCTGTAGTCCCAGCTACTCAGGAGGCTGAGGCAAAGAATAACTTGAAGCCAGGAGGCGGAGGTTGCACTGAGCTGAGATTGGACCACTGCATTCCAGCCTGGGTGACAGAGGGAGACTATCTCAAAAACAAACAAACAAACAAAAATGAAAAAAATAGCATACCCTCCTCTCCCCCGTAACTATCTAAATAATGGTCACTGATTCTGCCTTCATGAAGCTTTAATCTGAATTGTAGAATGTTATGAACATGTAAGAGAGCAGTATATTCTAATTTCCTCTCATTGTTCTATCCCATGAGTAAAGAGACAGGTGTTTTGACCAGGCTCCTTAAGTAAAAGGACATTAATTTCTACATCTTTGTTGTTTCTCAATTTATGTTGAGGTATTATTGTTATGATGTGGTAAAATTAAAATGAACAAACTATTCATATTAAATCTTGTTTTATATTACTGAGTAGTCATCCTACTGTACTTCTGAATTTTTCCTAATTTCGTATTTCTGAAACGGTAGGAAAGAAAGAATAGTCAAGATTTTTATTTTGAGAACAGGCTGAGATAGATACCAATAATTTTACCCATACTATACAAAATTGCAATGCTATTAACAAATTTGGAAAAAATACCAGCTGTTTTTAATTTTATAGCAGTATGATGGAGCCATGTCTTGTTAGCACTGACATTTACCTAACATAGATCAGGTTGGTCTATGATTTGTTGCATTTTTCATTATTGTAATAAAGGTGTTCAAGGTTAGGGATTATGAAATATTTTCTCAGCTATTAGTCAATATTAACACCAACGGTGACCTCCTACCCAGCTCCCTTAATGCAACTAACCCTTAGATTTTAAAGAACTGTTAGATGGCTGCTATGTATTCTCAAACTCTTTATTTTCTCTTTCTCTCTAGTATGGCTGTAGAATTTCCTCTAGTCTTATATGACTGTAAGTTTGAAAATGTCAAGTGGATCTATGACCAGGAGGCTCAGGAGTTCAACATTACCCACCTACAACAACTGTGGGCTAATCATGCTGTCAAAACTCACATGTTGTATAGTATGCTACAAGGACTGGACTCTGTTGCAGTACCATGTGGAATAGGACCAAAGATGGAGAGAATGACAGAATGGGGAAATGTTAAGCCCTCTGTCATAAAGCAGACCAGTGCCTTTGTAGAAGGAGTGAAGATGCGCACATATAAGCCCCTCATGGACCGTCCTAAATGCCAAGGATTGGAATCCCGGATCCAGCATTTTGTACGTAGAGGACGAATTGAGCACCCACATTTATTCCATGAGGAAGAAACAAAAGCCAAAAGAGACTGTAATGACATAATAGAGGAAGAGAATACTAATTTGGAGACACCAACAAAGAGGGTCTGTGTTGACACAGAAATTAAAAGCATCATTTAACCATAGACAATTTGCCAGGATCTAGGAACCACCTAATGGTAGGTGGACAGAAAGGAAAAAAAAAAATGTACTTGCAAGTACTAGGAATTCAGATGATCAGCTCTTAAAAAAAAAAAAAAAGCAAAAAGACTAGAGCCCTATTAAGGAAGTTATTGCTTTAATAAGAAATTTCAAATACTCTTTTATCCCGGTCCAAAAGGATTAAGAGATTAAAGAAGCAAAAAGCAGTCGTAAAATGGAGATGTATTTACGTACACCTGGAAACCTGTGCCTTGTATTCAAATTAATTAAAGCGTAATCCTGCAAGTATCTAATTTGTTGTGTT